TAGTGATGTAGCCACCGGACCCAGCAAAATTTTTAAAGTGGTCTATGAAACAAAAGAGTTTGGGAACCACTGGTATAGATAAAAACAACCATATTACTAAATCTAAGACTTTTTTTAATTTTTCCTATTTATATTGAAAGTGTGGTTGATTTTAATCTAGGTGATCATTTTTGCTTCGATGTTATGCTTGGAGACATCCCATGTGCACAAAGCAAAATTAATAATGAAATAGTAACTTTTAGATATATTTCTTTTATAAACTTAGCAAATATTAATGCAAAACTAAATAATGAAGATTTTTCAACCATGTATGAGTTAGACAGTAGGTACTGATGATGCTTCTAATATATTCTTTAGAATCATTTCATATCATATTGATGTAAGTTGTCCCCTTGTCAGAACAAATCGACGCGTTCAAGGCAAAACGGCACAAGCGCCATTTAGTAAATTGTTCAGGAGGGAAAGAAAACCTGCCAATTATAAAACTTTAAATATTAAAAGACCGAAAGAAAATTCCCTACATCGTGATTTTTTTATATTTATTTTGGTAAAAATGTTGAGTGGGTATTCAAACAAATAACAATGCAATTAAAAAAAAGGTAATTTTGTCGCTTATGCCAAATCGTTTTATGTCGACGGTGTTTATGCCATTAAGGTACTGGCGTTTGTGTCAATTAGTTTAATAATTAATTGCACCAAATGGCGGTTAAGTGGATGTATGCCAAATCAAAATTAAAGAGTACTATGTTGATTTTTGGCGTTAATGCCAACATAGACTAACACTAAAAAAATATTGAAAACACTTTTATTAGGAATAGAACTTAAAACATGGTACAAAACACTACCCACATTAAAAAATATTAAGGAAAAGAAACAACAGATAAACATATTAAAAAGATAATAAAAAATAAATGAAAATTCTGTAATCTATTGATCTTCCTCATCTTCAACATCGGTTTCCATAAGGACATCTCGAACAGAAGCTAGGTCTTTAAGCGGTAAGTATTCAATATGGTATTGCGGTTTTATTGTATTCTTTTCGCATTTGTCTCAATATTTATTAACGTTTTCAGTGTTTGGTCCAAGGAGTGAGTTTCGTTTTCCAATTCGTAGGGTAAGGAGATTTCATTTGTTTCGGGATTTATCGGAACAATTTGTGTAATATTTTCCATTACGACATTAAGACCTTCCTCAACAAAATGTAAATTTCTAATATCAGCCTTGTTATTACAAAATTTTAGTACAATATTATTAGAGTCGCCCTGATAAACGCTTTGAACATTGGCATCACAGGTCGTTTCATTTTTATGTTTTGCTAGTTCAACTAACTTGCGGGCTCTTGCGCTGCTCATCTGCAAAAAAGGCATAAGCGCCATTATTATAAAACATCGCCTTATTTAGAATTTTAGTAGATTTTTAGATTTAATTGAATTGAAATCAGTAGTAATAATGCAGACGTTTAGGCTGGTGCAAGTTAAGTGCATAAAACAGTTTAATCACGGACTTTTTAATTAATAAATAGTTTATGTCGTTTATGCCAAGCATACTTTTAATATTTGAATTGGCACAAACGCCACTTAATTTAAATTGTAGTAATTTATGAACTAATTCATTTCTATCTGTAAGAATGTTACATTTCGTACAAACAACAATGTTCACTCATATAAAATATAATCTATCTTACCTTTCCAGATGGTACACATAAACTGCCCGTAACCCTACCACGCGAAATGCCATAAGCGACTGGCGTTTGTGCCGTTCATTGCTGGTAGAAGTCAGCCAATTGGCGTTTGTGCAAAATGTAATTTGAAATAGCACGTGAACGAATGTTTTGGTGGATATGCCGTTAACACAGTTCGACGCAGAATTTAAAAATCTACAAATCAGTACCAAAAAACAGGTTGGTAAAAATTTGGCGCTTGTGCCGTTCTGTCTTAAACGCGTCGAAATAGGGTTAAAACAAGTAATTATAAGGAATACAGTCCTCTATAACTGGTAAAAGCAAATCTATAAAGCCAATACAGAACAATGTTGACCACATGTTAATATGTGATAAAAAAACTGTAGCTAGAAACACTGTTAGAGATAGTTTTGACAATACAAATTTTCATAACTACACAATCATGCATGTAAAAAAATACATTCTTCTATGATAGAAGAGAATCCCAAAAAGTAACTGCAGTCATTAGTTCTTTAAAAAATACTAATGTAATGGGTGTAGATTGCATTACAACTAAAATAATTAAATCTATTGGTTATTATATAGCAGAACCAATTGCATATCTAATCAATATATCTGTAAAAATGGCATATTCCCCAAAGAACTTAAAACCGGTATGGTATCACCTATTTATAAAAAAAGGCGATTCAACGGCTCTTGAAAATTATAGACCTATCACAGTTGCCTACTGTTCTCTGTAAAATTCTTGAAAAATGTATACATAAAAAAATGTTATCATTTTTATTTAAATTTAAAATTATTACAGATCAACAACATGGGTTTCTTCCCGATAGGTCAACGGAAAGTGCTACTACTACCTTTTTTAATTATGTCCATAATCAGCTGGACAGAAAAAGGTTAGTGGGTGCGCTCTTTTTTGATATATCTAAAGCTTTTGACACCATTGATATCTCAATTATTATTGGAAAATTAAGTGCTTTAGGTTTTAGGGGTAACTTTTTGCAATGGAATAATTCCTATATAGATTTTCGTAAAATGTCTGTTAGAATCAATGGTTGCTTATCAGAAGTAGATGACATGGATCGCGGTGTTCCTCAGGGATCAGTATTGGATCCTCTCATAGTTGTCCTTTACATAAACGACTTGCCTAACTTAGTCACATTTCAATATATACAGACGATACTAATGTTGCTGTCGATGCAGAATCACCTGAGGAACTTTATTCCAGATTGTCTCTTGTTGCTAGAGAATTTACTGCATGGTGTAAAAGAAATGCATTAATCGTTAACTCCAACAAAAGAGTACTCATTCAGTTCCATTCTAGATCAAGAATAAGTACAGATTTTTTTAATACAAATAAATAATGATTTTATCCCTCTGTCCATGAAAACAAAATTCCTAGGAGTTCTTATAGATGCAGATATGAACTGGAGTTCCAATACTAATTCTGTTTGCAAAAAATTAAATAGTGCGTACTATGCAATTCTCCAATTAAAAAATATGTTAGACATTAGACAGCTTCTTCAAGTTTACTATGTGATAGCATATTCACATTTAGCTTACAACATATCGCTTTGGGGAAATGCGACCGGTACGTTAAGAGTCTTTGTCAAAAAAGAATAATAAGATTAATTTTTAACCTATATGCTAGAAGAACCTGAGAGATCTATTTAAAAGACATAATATACTGACTTTTCCAGCAATATATATTCTCAAATGTGCCATATACGTTGAATCAAATATCTCCAAATTTACCCTTAACTCACACATCCATAATTATAATACTCATAGTGGCAATTTACTACGCACACCCCCTCATGTTTCAAACATGTTCGAAAAAAGTTCATACTACTGTGGAATAAGGCTATTCAATCATCTACCTACCTATCTAAAACAAATTAACAGTCTGAGCTTATTTAAATCAAAATTAAAAAGCTATTTATTCCAAAAATGATCCTATAGCATTCATAAATTTCTCCTGCAATTTTTGTAGTACAAGGTACACCCTATGTCATATGGGTGTTTCCAAGCAAATCAGTCCTAATTTTGATTTTGGGAATTTATTGTCAAATTGTATATTTAAATGTGTTAGTTAAATTTTATATCTGTTTTGTAAATGTATACTATTGTACATATTTACATGTAAATGACTTATCCTATATCATGAATATGTATACAAAAGGATTAATATTATTATTTGGGCGGGACACATATGAAGTCTCGATGAGAAATACAATTCCTCATTAACCAATAATAAAAAAAAAATGTTGTATAGCACAAGTTGAAGTTGGAAAGGCTTTTGCCAGTTCTCCCACTTTATACACATAAATTGACAGGTTTGCGGCGGATCTTACCGAAGTGGATGCGATACATTGCCGTACAAAATTATTTTATAGATGTTAATAACAATTTCGAGTAAATAGTTTAATAAATTGTGAATAGCTATTGAAATTTTGTAAAATTATGATTTGAATATTATAATACATGTTTAATAATTATTTATAGTCCAGTTCCCCGGTAACAATTTAAAATTACTTATTCTATGAAACGACACTGGTAAACATTATTGCGAAATTCTCGAAGCCGCCCGACGTGGTTTGACGTTTACTCCCTCTCTACTACCAAAAGCCTTTCCAACTTCTACTTGCGCTATGCATACTCGATTTATTTGAGGTCAAAATAAATTAAGTTAAATACATTTTGAGCATTATTTCATTCACAAATTTGCATCGAATCCTGGTTTATTTTAATTAACTTTATCACAACGTGGGTATATAAATTATCAATTTATTAACTAGACGTTCATTACTACTACTACTAGAGGAAAAAGGCCAAATACAGTATAAATTACTTTGAGTTTCACAAAGGGAAGGGAGGTAATAAAATACGTGCTTTTGAAATTCAAGAAGCGACTAGGGAGTGGGCGGTTACAATATCTTACTAAGTAAATAATGTTAAAAATATCACATTTCTTACTTTTTCAGATGAAATTTTATGTCTGATTTTTTTATAAACTTGTCCTGACTGGAGAAGCTTTCATCTAGTAACCATACAGTGAGTAAGTTTATGAAGTGTAACACAAAACATATGAAATGTCAGAAATATATTCTCTAGGGACTTTCAAACTGATTAGCTCCAAACTATTTTCCACATACTTGAAGCCACAGTAAATTTTCAGTCCAAAGCTATTTTCATTGCAAGAATTAGTGCAGAGATGTGTCACAATTATACTAGCAAGCAAGGAAAAGTAACAGCCACTTTACTCTTATTCCATAAAAATTTGAATTTATAAAAACAAGTGAAAATTCATTACAAAAGCTTTTTACCAAACCAGAAAACTTTATTTCTTAGCACTATAATAAACTTTCATAAACATTTGCACTAAAAACTTGTAGTTTTTTATTGGTCATTAGCTGCTGAACTAACAGTTGTGGAAATGACTGTTTTCCTAATATACCATTTATTAAAGGTATCAGTTTAGCTAGAGGCTTTCTTAATTCAAATGGGTTATTGAATGATTCATCTTTGTCACTTGTTGAAGGTGTGTCACCTTTTGAGTAAAATTCTGCAAGTTGGTCTCCAAGTAAAATGAATCCTTGGTTGACACAGTGTGTTGACAATGATTTAACTTCATCGCTATCTAGAAAATCTGCTGTATCGCTTATCTAAAAAAAAAAAAAAAAAATGTACCTCTTCATACATAAGCATAAATTAAAATATACACTATTTTGTACTTAATATTAAAAGATACAACTACCAATATTATTTTCGTAATAAAACACAAAAATATGTTTCAAGTAAAATTATTAAGATCTAAATCAGTACCTCGCAGGTAAACTGTAAACTACACTAGTCAACCTTTCAGTAGAGCAGATTGATTGTTGTTTGGACACTTTTTGTGCTCCACAATTACATATATTTAATTATATTTTGATAAGAAATGCAGTTAGATCCAATAGACCTTTCCCATTAATGATAATCTCTATTAATCATGTACAAATTCTATTTTAAAATCATCAAAATTTGATATGGTTATGTTTCCTACCCTGAGTTCCAATTACACATCCGCAAATGTCATTTTGTTTGATAGTATTGGTAGGGGAACCAGTGACACTTTTAGGTGAGTTATTTGCAAAAGGCAAGATTACAATTATTACATTGTATATTCTTACCTTAAAGAAAATACAATCAGAAGCCTTTGATGAAGACATCTTAAAAAAAGCCTGTGCAGAAATCTGTCATAGAAGAGCAAGCGTAAAACTTTTTTTTATTATTTACATTTGTTAATAGAAAAAAGTTTTCTGCCACCTTCTTAAAAATCGATTCACAGTACCTTCTTGCTTGCATATAAGGCAATTCACCGCCAGATCTATTGCAGCAAACGAGTTTCATTAATAATATATATTATTCTATCACAGACAAAAAATGAGCCTTGCGTAAATAAAAAAATATAATAATTTTATTTTTCAAACTTGAAAGTTTTCCACCTCTACCAAGATGGTAGCAAACTTTTTTCTATTTTTATTTTCTATATTGGCTTTTTGAAGACGTCGTAATCGAGCGCTCCATAGCTGGTGCGTCTTCAGCAAAGTATTTCCATCTTCAAGGATAAACTATAAATTTATAATTCAGACTTGTTAAAAAAACTATCACTGGGTCCCCTACTATATAGACTAGATGACAGTTTTTTAAATTGACGATGACATGGGGTAATCGTCGTAGCCAACCTAACAATTGTAAGGCGAGGATAAGAAAGGAAACTAATAGCTTTGTTCGTGGTAACAATGTGAACCCTAAGGTAAAAATTATTCTGCATATTATAACTGGATTTGTATTGTTTAAATTTTTATGTAGGCGTGTATGGTGTCTACCTTAGCGTTCAGAATACGTTCGGGATCGAAGCTAATTAAGTTGTTTAGAAAATTACTAGATTCAATGTTCCCGCGCTTTTTTCGCGCATGAATAATGTGAAATTGTCGAATAACGGGAAAGGTTCATTATTGAGGTTTCAACTCAAAATTCCCTAGGCAGCAGCCTTCTTTGGAATCATAAAATCCACCAATTTATACAAATAAAAAAAGGAAATTGTATTAGTTAGATTAGTACACCATATTTTTTGGCCGTTTTTAGGCTCTTGAAATATAAAACTATTTAAAAAATCGGTATTTTTTAAAAATGCGGGAGGATGCTTTGCTAGCTTCGAACGAAACCAGCAAAGCCCCTCGGTTTTTAAAGGCTTTTTTTCTAAAAACAACTACACCACATTTTTAGGCTCTTAGGATATTATAAAACTTTTGTAAAAAAATTGCTATTTTTTAAAAAAAAACAAATCTACTAAAAACAACCATCACATTTTTAGGCTCTTGAAACATAAAACACACCAAAAAAATGCGATTTTTTAAAAAATGGGGTGCTCTAGCTTCGAACGAAAACAGCGGATCACCTCTGTTTTCTTACGATTTTTGTTCATTTGGTCGAAGAGTAAAATCAACATGAACTGATTTAGTTTGATTTTTATTTTCCCCTTTTTTGTCCTTCGATTGATTCTGTTGCAGGTTTCCTGGGGCTCGATTCTCGAGATCATTGGAAAATTTTCCCATGAGAAAATATTCCACTACTTATATTCCCATGGTAATAGGTTATGCAATTCTCGAACGTGTCGGAATAGACATTCCCATGGAAATAGTAGTTTCACGTATGTCTGATATTAAGTTCACGAATATTTCGAAACAACCAATAACATTAAAGATATTTTAAAATTTACTGTTGGCAATATTTGTATTTGTTGTGGTTTTTGGGTATCCGATTACCTGCCGAGCCTCCGCGCTGGAGCAGGTGCCGTGCCGAGCAATCGCTATCATGATCGAGAATAAGTGAAAATATTCGATTACGTATAATAATTAAAACTTGTCGAGTTATTCTTAGTTTTTCTTTTCTCATGTTGAAAAAAGAAAATGTAGTTTTTGTATGGAAGAGCAACGAAAGGTTTGAGAAACTAAAAAATTATTTCATTAACGAAAATAATAAAATTTTCGAAAAGGTCTTATTAAATCTACTACACTCAATTTGTGTTATTTGCCAGTCCCTTAGCAGCTCCCACAATTTCTAAATGATTTAGGAAAATCAGTTTATACAGTTTCTTAGTGAAAGAGAATTAAAAATAATATACCTACATAAATAAAATAATATCAATTTATAAATACGCCAAAAAAATGTTTTAACTACAATTTCACTAAAAATCCAAGATATCCAATAATCTTTGGTTATGTCTTAGACTTTCGAGTGGTCTTTCGTCAAATTTTCGACTTTAATGCGCAAACTCTAGTACAATTCCCATTGGAAAACACAATTTCCAATGCTCGTAAGCAGGGGAATATTTTCCCATACTTCTCATTGGAAAATATTCCACCGCTTATGTCGAAAATACGAAAACTGAATTCCCATGGGAAAATTTTATTTTTCCATATGGATTTAGTTTTCTTTTTTACTACCAGTTCTCTTATCTCGACAGGATAGTTTTTTCCAGCTGTTAATCTTCTTACTTTTGGTGTGTTCCTCAATGCAGCTTACTGGATTTCAATTATAAACCTTTCCAGTTCTTTATCTAGCGGATTTTTCGTTTTTAGTGTTATGGCCAGTTGCATAGTATTTGTTAAGTCCTCTTGAAAACCTTCCCAATTAGTTTTCCGATTTGATAGTGTCGGTTTTGCTTGTTTTTGAATAACATTATCACTTAGAGTAAGGATTACTGCAGAATGTGTATAGTTTGGTGAAATTTTTCTCAGAATAAAGAAGTCCAAAAGGTCTAGAATCTTATTTGGGTCGGTAGGCCAATAGATGAGTTTTTCAGAAGATTGGTATGTACAACCAAGTTCTGGCAAGCCTATACTAGGCCGTACTATTGCTGTTGCCTGCCAAAAGTGCCGAACAATTTTTAATTTTTACAGGCAAAAATTGTTAGAAGTAATAAAGGGACCAAGCCTAAACTGAAATTAAAGGCTTATGGTAAGATTTTTAAGTATTATTCTGAAAATATCATTCACTATTATTACATTAATTGCAGCTTTGTCCACCCTACATTTAAAAGCAGACGAGGTGGTTTCTTACAAGCATTAAACAACAAAAAACGAGAAAAGTCAAAAGGCTTTACTAAAAGAACCTACATTATTGAAAAAAAGGGTTTTCTACAGGAAATTTTTAGTAAAAAGTAGTAACAAATAATTTTATAGAAGAAAACAAGGACCCGTTGGACTTAGAAGAAGTATAAAATGTATATATGAGAAATAAAAAATATATTTTTCAGTTTCTACTAGTTTCTAGGATGTATGAACAGTATAATCATTGTATTTAGATCAACTAGTAAAACAATACCAATGCAAATTATCTTGGAGGACAATGGACAGTATCAATAGATGGCAGCAAGCTCCATGGTGTCCAAGTCATGTCTTTGATAATTTTGTCGTCTTCGAAACGAACGTAATTTCTCTATTTACTAATAGATGGGCCCATAATCGATTCAGAATATTTGTTTTAAAAATGGAATATACGAGTTTAATTATGCTTGTTAAACATTTATTTACGATTTATTATCATTTTAGAGAATATAAACAATAGTAATTTAAATTTAGCACTCTATTCATATGAATTTAAAAATTAAGAAAATTTTATGTATATAGAATTCTGTACTCAATAATCGAGGAAGTGCTAGCGTTCGGGCTATTTTGATGAATTTCTAACAGATGTCGCGACAGAATTGCCTCCAATGAAACGTCCATAAGGTTGTTCTACTATCTTCTCTAAATACAATGGTATAATGTACTTCAAAAAAAAACAATAAAACAACAACCCAGTTTCATTATAATAATCTATAAATATAGGTACCAAATTAGAGAAAAACAGTTATCTAATGTGTTTATATACATACGAAACACAGAGGAGATATTACGTATACTTGGGGTACTTAATTAAATAAATCATCCAAGACCATCTCTCAGATTTATTTTAGCAGCGCACTTTGGTAAAGTTGAAATCCCCAGTAAGGGATACTTGAAAGTATTTCTGAGGTAAAGATAGCACCTTTTACTCAAATATCTTCTCGTGAATGCTTTACAAACTTCTCTAAAAGGCCCTTGTTTTCTTGTATTTCCAGCCATTGTATCCTGCATAGACAGGCACTCGCGATTAAGCAAAAGCCACCAAATCTAAAGTTGGTTCTGGACGAAGCGGTAAAAACAACTAATTTCGTTAAATAATTCCACTGCAATCCGGATTTTTTTTCAATATTGTGTGAAGATTGTGGCAGCAAACATAAAACACTACTGCTCTATACGGAAGTGAGATGGTTATCTCAGGGTAAAACTTTAACAAGGCATTTGAACTTAGAGTGGAGCTACAAACTTTTTTTAAAGAGATTTCTATTAATTTAAAAGATCGTTTGTGTGATAGAAGTTAGTTGTTCAGACCAAAGATATCTATATGGTTCAGACTATCTTTTATGGCAGTTATGTTTTAAAAACTGAACGAATTAAATGATATCAGTTACAAGTATAGAATCCCTGTTCAAAACAATTACTCTGAATGATTTTTGGTGCAGGATCCATGATGAATATCCACAACTTGCCGCAAAGGTGCTGAATTTTCTTCTTTTGTTCTTCGCTCCCATTAGATGCTAATTATAATGTCAAATAATATGATTATTATTAAAGAATATGTATATTATTTTAGGATTTCGTCAAATATTTCGCTTTCCCAAAAGGTTCCTTTGCCAAAAAAGTTTGAGAACCGCTGCTTGAGAGTATTTCTGAGGTAAAGATAGCACCTTTTACTCAAATATCTTCTCATGAATGCTTTACAATCTTCTAAGCGGCCCTTGTTTTCTTCTTTAAAATTATTTGTAACTATGTACTTTTTACTAAAAATTTCCTGTAGCAAATCCTTTTTTCAAAAATGTATGTTCTTGTAGTAAAGCACTTTGACTTTTTTGCTCTTGGTAGTTATTAATGTTTGTAAGAAAACATCTCGTCTACTTTTAAATGTAGAGTGGATAAAGCTGCAATTAATTTAAAAATGATAAGAATGATATTTGCAGAATAATTACTCTAAAATATTACCATTAGTCTTCATTTTCAGTTTAGACTCAGTCTCTTTGTTTATTCTAAAGATTTTTGTGTGTAAACAGCAAAAATAGTTTGCCAACAGCAAAACTACGGCTCGCTCCAGGCTTGCCAAAATTTCAAAATATTTCCGGATATAAACAAAGTGTGATCCGAATTTAGCAAGGAGGCCGTACCCTAATCCAAAATGTTTAAAATAAACCATTCACACAATAATATTTCTCTTTATAATTCAAGTAAAAGTAAATAATTTGAAATTTGATGGAAATCATTACAGGATTTTTCTATGCAGTTTTATAACTTGTCTTTCAAAAACTAATGTACGAACCGCAGCAGAATATTTTCTGTCAACTCGATTTTGGATTCCATGACGTCACAGCCTTCCTTAGCAACGATCGAAGAGGCCACTGTGGTATCTACGAACTGTGAATATTGGTTATAAGCGAGGTTATAAGGTCATTGATGTGCCATTTCTAATTTTCACTTTTATTTAATTTTTGTTATTTATCTATGTTCAATTTTTTTTTTCTTTTTCACTTTCACTCTCTTATGTGCATGTCAGATTTGAAAATTTTATTAAATAATTTGTAATTTTAAATGTAAATTATATTATTATTATCAAAAATAAAGTCTTAAATATTACCACTAGCCCCCCAGACTCAACACGTTGACTGCAAAGTGGAATTTAAATAACATGCCACATATGGCATGTCATGGGTATTTTGGCATGTCATGGCTATTTTGGCATGTGAGAGAAAAACACTTTAAGACTGTCTTACTCCAACTTATAACCCTATGCTGTAATTTCATTCAAATTAGTTAAAAAAATAGGTATCGAAGTTAATTATTCCAAAAGTTAGAGAAGTACATATAATTTTCTTGCAGCACATAAGTTAAAACGATCACATGCCAAAAACAGCATGTGCCACATTCAAGGTGTTAAACATAATTACCACTACCCCCCAGACTTAACTCTGGATTCACTACTGAACAATATGGACTTAAATCATGAAGATATAACTTATTTTAAAATTTAATTTTGGCATTTGTAACTGTGAAATAAATTGGTTTTTAAGTACATAAAGGACAGTTTTTAGTAATATTGTCTTGTTTGAAATGGACATAAAGATAATGAAATCCTCAAACCAATGTATTTCCTGATGATTTACGAAAAATTTATAAGTATACAGTACTTTTTGGATTTGAATTATTACAATATTATAAACACTTACTATACTGTTGTATACATCACTAGAGTCAGATATAATATCATCTGTTAGTATATATTTCCTGAATTGTTCAATCGGACCTTCAGTATTTGAAGAGAGCCCTACTTGTACAGACCAGTATATATTCTCTATATCACCCAATTTTAGTTGTTTTGTCAAATCTAGGATACTAACATATTTTGAAACCTAAAACCAATATGAATATAATTTAACTTTTAGGTAGGACCTACTTAGTATAATTATTAATTTTCATCTCCATTTAATTTAAAAAGATGTCTGTTAACATGCAGTACATTCTTAAAAAATTAATTGAAAATTAAATACCTACTTAGGATATTTTGTTATTATTTACAATTCATAAAATCTGCATAATTTTTATTCCTATTAAATTTTTAATCATAAAAAAAATAAAATCAAATAGAAAATGGATTAAAATTCATGTAAAAATTGATAATTTACAAAATATAGAAATTATAGTCTGTTCAAAAAAAAACTACCTAGGTACTAATGTTATGAAAATGTTTTCTTTGGTTGAGATATTTTTAAATAATTTTGCTTAACTGTTTTTAAGTTCATTTGAATTGATGCTATTATCATAGATATGTAATTAATGTGATTTAATAAATTAATACCTCAGTTTCCATAATTTCAGCCAACTTTTTTACTCCACTATTAAGAAAGTTTTGACATAGAGATAAATACTTCTCTTGTATCTCCGTAGGCACACTATTTGGATCTTTATATAAATAACCACCAATTATCATTAACTGTATTTTAACAATAATAGCTAACATGGCTGAAGAATAAACTAATAATCCAACTTTCGTAAAAACTAATAGCTGAAACAATACATATTTACATACATTTATTAGTCACTTAGTTAAAAAATACCTTCAAATTGTTCCATAATTCTACTTTGTTTTCGGGATTTGCTTTTAATTTGTCAATAATTTCATCAGTATTTATTATTTCAGAAATTAAATCTTGCAGTGCCAATGAAAAATTGGAAAATGTTTGATTGCTAGTCTTGATTATGCTATCAAAGTGATTTTGTTTACGATTTCTATCGAAAAATTCTACAGTTTCTCTTTCTTGCCATTCCTTAAGCCTATATTGGGCATATTTTGATAATAAAATTGCTCCAGAAATTATTACACCACTTACAAGGAACTTGTTTCTGTGTCTAGAAAAAAATCCTCGTACTTTTGAAACGACAGACATATTTTAAGAAACAACAACTATATTTTAAAATCAAAGTTATCTTTAATTATTTTGGTAAATACCGTAAGTATTTAATATTTCTAATCTTTCATTTCTATTATGAATATGAATTTATTTTTATTTACAGTTCACCGTCCACTGACCGTTGACATTGACAAGTTGACCCAGGGGCAGCGTTGCCAGATGAAATTTTCTGTCGTCCCTAGATTTCGTTTTAAAAATCCCTAGATTTCTAGAGATTTCTCCACATACTTTGATTTTCTTTTACTATACGGAGAATGGTCGCACTGCACAGCTTTCTGAGTGCCTTTTAAAAGGAGATAGAAAACTCCGCCATTTTGAACCCTTATTACTTGTTGCCTATATCTTGGCGCAATATTTTTGATAGGTGCGTTTTAATCATCCGCTTCTGCTTCGGAATTGTCGGTTTTCTTGTTTTAATCTGACAGGTTAAAACGATTAAACCGACAATTCCGGAAGCAGAAGCGGATGATTAAGGGTCGGTTTTTCAATGTCCAGTCAAAGTGGCTGTTACGTAGCCGACAGCTATATCGTAGCTGGCAGTCAAAGTCTCTGTTACCGATGGAACGTGGATGGACTGTTTTTCAATCATCACGAATTTAACTGCTAGCTACGTAGCGAATAGTTTTTTACTCTTAGCCAGGTTGGCACTTCTGCTAATTTATTAAATGGTTTTTATTGGATAATTTAAATTTTCCGCTTTAAATATCGTGTCTTGTGTTGATCGTCACCGACCTTCACATAAAAATTGTTCTATTTTGCTTCCATTTTTCTTTAAGATCTTGTTATTTTCTGTTTTTGGGCAATAGAGGACTTCTATACAAGGGAAGTGCAACCAACTTAACAAAATAAAAATGACACTAATGACATAAGAAATCGGGTCACATAAAGAGGCTGTTTTTAAGTTTACTTTTTTGTTTTTCTTATATACTTTTATGCCATTTACATACCATGTTGTACCCGTAAGGTAAAAAAGACTTTTAAGTTTAGGGTATTTTACATCTAAAGGTTGAAAAAATTTGTCAGTGTCAGCTCTCAATTATGTTGTTGGTAGAACACAGGCGTAACCATAGATGGGCATAACGTAACTAGTATTGTATATGGTTGTATAGTGTATGGAACTTGTATTTGTAGCAGCAGCATTTTTGAATTTGACATAAATATATAAAACCAAATAAAAAAAATGTTTAAGGAAACCGGGTGAAACACAAATAGACTATTAACAATAAAAAAATAAATTGCAATGCTACGCTTATGTTTTGACATTATCGACAGCTGATATTGATAGATGTCTTCAACCTTTAAATGTAAAATACCCTAAAATAAAAAGTCTTTTTTACGTTACGGGTACAACATGGTATGTAAATGGCATAAAAGTATATAAGAAAAACCAAAAATTGAACAAAAAACAGCCTCTTTATGTGACCCGATTTCTTATGTCATTAGTGTCAATTTTATTTTGTCAAGTTGGTTGCACTTCCCTTGTATAGAAGTCCTCTATTGGTGATTTAGAAAAAAGAGAAAATATCTAATTATGCGGCATCAGATAGAACCCTACTATTAAAATTTACTTATCTTACAGAATGTAAAAAAAAAAAACGGAAAATGCAATATCTCGGAAACGAAATGAGAAGGTTGCAGAAAATTTTTATAATAAAATTCTTTTCATCAATATCAAAATAATTGGGCCGTTTCCTTACAATACACGGATTACACGGTCATCTTGGCTCACATTAAATAATTTCTTTGTCATCGTTGCTGTGAATATGAATTCAAATAAATCCATTTTTGAGAAATAGAAAAATTATTAAAAATATTAACCTCTAAATTTGACAAACAACGTACTACGCATGTACAATAAATAGCTGGCGGCTATCTATATAGGAAATTACCACTTGCAAGTGTCGGTTACGGTTACAGTCAAAATAGCTGACGGCTATCGTATAACTGGAGGTCGAAAAACGTTTTGACAGTTAGTGGCTGACGGCTATCTCCGTAGCTGCCAGCTATCCTAAATAGCCGGAGATTGAAAAACCGGACCTAAAACGCACCTGATATTTTGCTTGCTGCTGTCAGTGTCACAGTTTATTGCTAAAGAATCAGTTAGCTCACTCGGACCAGTTGAAAGTTCCAAAATAACATCCACTCCAGGGATACAAATTCAGGATACGCATAAGACTGCTGTTTTATTATAGGCGGTTGTCATATATTGTATTATCCGAGTTGCACAGTGTATAAACTGAAACATTAAGATCCAAAGTGCCGACGCAGAGTGAGCAATCTGATTCTTTAGCTGTAAACTGTGTCACAGGGTTCAAAATGGCCGCGCCCTATGTTGGGCGTGTCGGACTTCTCTCTTGCCTCGTATAGTAATCAAAGTATGTGGGTTGGACGTTTACCTAGGCCCGTATTTATAAACAGAACTTACCCCAGCTAGCACAAAAACATCCCATCTACGTTAATAAGCTGCAATTTTAGGCTCTTTAAGCTCGCATGCAATGTACTGTAAATGTAACCCTTATATCCCTGCAACTACCGAATGTCCGCAGCGGCAAGACTTTTATAGCACATCTCACAGAAGTTACAAAGTGAAGTTCGAAAAACATCACACTAGCACTTTTACGGTACTTACTCCGAAAGTTGCTCTGAAACGTTCTATTGATGTTATAATGTGAATTAGATCTACAGCATTATACAGTGTGTCCACGGATGGGCTTAACTATACTTGTGAAAATATTTATTTTAAATTAAAAAAGTAATTCTTCATAATTTCTTGCTTGTTAAATAAATTCGATTCACATTGAGAAATTATGAAAAACAACTTTTTCTTTAATTTAAAATAAATATTTTTACAAGTATAATTAAGTCCATCCGTGGACACACATTGTGTAATGTAATACAGAGAGGCTGAAATTGAGGCTATAGTAAAATCTCAATCGAGACATGAAAATTTCAAATAAAACAAAATATTTATATAAATTTATTATTAAAATGTTCTTGAAATCAAGTACCAATAGCACAAAAGTAGAGGTAGGTGTAGGTGTGTTCTTTTATTCAGTGCTGTATCCAGCGCTTGCAGCAAACCGTTCGTAAATTAAGTGATGGAAAGACGATTGTATGTGTCAATCATTCTTTTTTCCAGCGGTGAATTCACCAATGAGCCAAGGCATCCATCGGCTTTAAAAGCTGATGGATATGTGATAGACGAATGGTGAGGATAATCAATCATTTAAGTTAACCTAAAATATAAGAGTTCAAAGTTCAAATATAAAATGACTGCAGAATAGATAAATTACATCAATCACTGATGGAACAATTATTGAATAAAAGAACACACCTTATATCACAAACACAAGTACACATGTCGGATAGAAGAAGCTACCTAGAAAGCACTGAATGATTGGACAAAATTAGCTAAATAGTATAATAAGGTACCAATATTGCAAAGGTTCACTAAAACCTTAAATGGTGAACGATGATAAAGCTAGATTGGTGAAAAATAATAAACGAATACAACAATGACTAGGTACATATTATTATATTAGATTACTAGAGGATAGCTAAGTTCGCTGATTTCTTACCTAAGACGCAGAGATATATCTTTTTTAAATCAAGCCTTCTAACTTTTTTTTGCATAGATATTTATAAAGTGCTATAATGTAACCTAAATATGACAATTTGTTAGAAGAGCATAAATTATATTTGTATATAAAAAGATTTTACTTCTCAATACATTGAATAAAAAAGAAATTGATAACTTGTTTACCTATTATAATTAAAGGAAATTATATAGAAATTAAAAAAATATGCCTTACTTTGTTGTTTTAAATAAAACAACCAATGTTAGTGTATTGAAATTTGTTTGAATTTTACAAATTTTATGCTTGATTTCCAAAGTAGATATATCGATGGCTCAATCAAAAACCGCCACAAGTCAAAAAACAAAGCAATTACATTTTTGGTTCAATGGATGCAAAATATCATTACGGTTTTACTTTAAATACCACCACAAACAAAAATATCCTTAAAGATAAATCATTTAAAATGTAGCCACAAACTGTGTCTAAAACTGCATCAATTCAAGTTATTTTCTTCAAAAACACCCAAATTTTTTACAACTATGCAACAACTCACTTTTATAATCGTATTCATTTTATTTAACAGCAAAATATCGAAGCTTTTAAATAAAATATAAAGAGTATGTCAAAAACAAAATAATGATAATAGAGGCTTACAAAATTTCAAAATGAAATTTCTCGAAATAATAGTATTTTAGTTGTGGCAGTATTTGATTGAGCCATCAATATGTAGTTTTTTTTAAAAAACAACTGGTGTTTTTTAGCAAGATATTCTATTATACTCGAGAGTATCATCTATGATTTCTCTCAACTTTTCTGCTGGGTTTTCACTTGACTGATGGTTGCATTTCCAGGCAATCTAGCTTGTTGAAGAGAATGAACTGCTTGAATTCTGATATACCTGACATATCATGTACCTATAGATTCACTTTTTATAAAACTTCAGGAGTTATATTCTTCTTTACACTTCTGTAGTATTTACTTTTGCTTCTAAAATTCCTAGAATGTCGAAGGAAACCTAAAAAATAATATTTTTAAAATGTATTTTTAGTTCGATAAAGTATAATTACCTTTTATAAGTATTTGGTGTAAAATGTTGCCGGACATTCGGTTAAATGTTTATCTTCTGGTTTACAACGATTGATCTGCAATTTTTTGTTTTTATTGTAGTTTTTTTTTATTTGGTGTCATCGGCATCGACTGCTAAAGATACTTAATGAATGAAATAATAAATTTACATCAGGCATTGTAATCTGAAACAAAGACAATGGTTTAGAAAATAGTTATCTATTTTATAGAGGACCCTTACCAAATCTATTCGAATGTATAAATAATAATTATTTATAAAATAAATTCTGGATGTCGAAAAATAAACCATTAAAAAAGACAATTGACAAGAAAAACTGACAAGTGACAATTGACATAAAACTAAACGTTCTGAATTCAGATTTGTAATGTTTACGGTAGGTTAACTAGGTAAATAACAAATAGAAGTTTTGCGAGGTTTTGATTTCCCTCAACAACTTCTCATGAACGTTGCATTTACGTTGTACAGTAATGTTATTACGTTCCCTTAATGCAACATCGCCGAAAGGCTTGGCAACGTTATGTGCTAGCTGGGACGTGAGTCGGACTTGGGTAAGTAAATCGAAGTTCGGTTACAACGTCTCTATAGTTCGAGGTGGTTTCGGTGTTACACTGGAATTTAGAGTTGGCTATTAGCAAATCTGTAACTATTATGTTCATTTACGGATTTGTTACTACCCATCTCTAAATTCACGCGATATAACCGAACTTCGATTTTAGTTCAAGGACGACTTATCCAAGTCCGACTCAGCTGAGTTTTGTTTATAAATACCAATGAACTTCAGTTCATTGATAAATACGGGCCCTAATCTACGGTTGGACGTCTACATAGGTAGTGTAGTGGTTTATGGAGAACAAGAAAAGAAGAATAAATATTAAATAAATTTGCGCGCGTTTTTGAGGTTACAAAATGTCAACCTTGGCGAGATGGCGAGTGTGGATTCTCTAAATGAATGTCCGGTTTCCAAAAAAATTAAATTAGATACTAAAGATGTAAATCTAGTTAAAAGTATACATGACGACCTTTCTAGTCTATCTGGGTTTAACGTGAAAGGTATTTTGACGAATAATACTAATAGAAAAACAGTTTGTCTCCGAGGAACATTTGACTCCAAAGAAGGAGAAGCTGTAGTAATTTTAGAAAAGACTGCATTTGCAGAAGAGGATTTAAAAGCGAATAAAGATTATTTTACTGAGCAAAATAATTTACAGAAAATATTTCAAAACGACATATACGGAGATTATAAATATTTTCCAAGCAAACAATTAAGTGGTGAGTGTTTTAACTTACTGAATAATTAATTTTAATTGCAATTATGAGCATGACAGAATGTATATTATAGAATGTCAAAGTTTTCAGGAAACATTAAATCCAGTGTTTTGGTGATAAGTATCGGATTTTTCCATTTAAAAATAAGATAAAAACCGATAATTAGGACATACAAACAATATGCGCCATTAAGTAATGTGCGTTGATAAATCAATATAGATCATCAAAACATGAATACCATTTGTAACTGGGGAAATATATAATATTGAATAACAGATAAAGTGATAGAAATACCCTCGGAAATACCCCAAGTCCTCTGACAAAAGAGTATCTCATTTTTAGTTACAGTTTACACATGTCTTATTTCAGTGGAGCTTTGTTGTTGCTTAGCAGCATAAACTTTATTAGGTGCATTTATGCAAATACAAGAAGTCATTTTGAAAAAATTAAGATTACCTTCTACATTTTGTCTACAAATACTAAAACAATTTACTTTCCTACTTTATAAATAAATTTCCCAGCTGAACATTGGTTTTTAGCGTTTTTAAAGATAATCCAAAACAGGTGCAAATTTGTTAAACAGATTCTTTGTTAAAAAAATAAATATAACTAGAGGCACAGAAAATACTTATTGGATAGGTACTTTTTGCATCATATAAAAGTGGTACAACTATTATAACAAAAATACCTGGTGGCACTCGGGGACTGCCGCGGTAAAGCTATTGCATAGAATTTTTTATCAACTTATGCAATTATAATTATTTATTTTATTTATGCAGAATTTTTTTTCTTTGATATTAATTCAAGTTTTTTCTTTGATATTAATTCAAGTTACACTTTTTGAGCGATAAGAAAACAAATTTTTTTCTTTTATTGAATAAATGAGAAGTTAATATTGTTTGAAATATTTTTATTATTTTACAATACATGTAGGTTATTCAGGAATTTTTATCATTGAAACTATAGGTTTACGGTAACTGAAATAAGAAACATAAGTTTGAGACTTGATATCCTCTAAATATCTGGAAAATACCGTGAAAATACCATATTTTGTTGTGGATTCTTGTGTATCATTATTCATTTTCAAATTCAATTTTTCCGAAATTGTGTCTAAAAGAGATAGTTAGCAGCTAGTCTACACGCATACGTCTAGTCGCATGCACACAAACACCGTGCTGAAGTCTGCCGAACTGAAACGACGTTAGACGATGCACGGCTTTCAACGCCGCACCCCTGTGCCAGATTTTTCGATTTTACGATTTATCGATTTTTTGATTTTCTTTTATTGAATAAATGAGAAGTTAATATTGTTTAACGCCGCACCGCTGTGCCGGTCGGAGTGGGGGGTGTTAGGTTTTACAGTGTTACGGAATTTCTTGATTCGGTCTCCGCCCTCAAAGCCCGCGATAAAAGTTATGCAATAGCTTAAAAATCATGCTTTTTAAGCTGTGTAAATTGATCTTTTAAATTGTTTCAAAGTTAAACTGCTTTTTAGGTTATAATTTCTAGAACAATGATGCCAGCACAACGAAAATATTAGAAGATGCAATGATACAAATAAATTTGGTAAAGCAATAAAACGCAATGGAAAATTTAAAAATTTAATGCAATCTAAAATGAATACGTTTGGAATTTAAATACATTTGACAATTCAAAACAGATGAAATAAATAATTAATATATAGCTCCATTATTAATAATTTCTTGTAATCTTCTAAGCACTGAGATAATTAAATTTATTGTTAACTTTTCATCTTCTGCCAAGCTTTACTGATTCATTTAAAAAAACATAATAAAATTTAAGGTGAAGAGAACTCTTTTTAGCGTATTTACTTTGCTAAGTTTCTATTTTTGGGGCAGCTCGGCTGTACAATTCTTTAAATCAGTTTTTCTAATTATCCTTTATGCTTTTGTTACTGAAGCATTAAAGTTTTTTTTAACTTTTTCCTATCTTGCCATACATAATTAGTTAATGTTTCATCTTGTTGTACTATAGTTTGATTGTTGTCCCATTTTTGCAAAGCTGTTAATCATTGTTTTCACATTTTATCAAACTTACTCAATTGACCTGACATTGTACCAATGCACTTTGATAAACTTGACAAATCTTACTGTTTGTCATTTTCAAAAGTAAAGTTGGTTTTACATTAGGAAAAATAAGGTCTGTATTTATAAACAAAACTCAGCTGAGTCCTTGAACTAAAATCGAAGTTCGGTTACAACTTCTCTAAAGTTCTAGGTGGTTCTGGTATTACGAGATGGATATTAGCAAATTTGTAACTGTTATGTACATTTACGGATTTGTTACACCCATCTCTAAATTCACGCGATATAACCGAACTTCGATTTTCGTTCAAGGATTACTTACCCAAGTCCGACTCAGCTGAGTTTTGTTTATAAATACGGACCTAAGTGTACCAGTTTTATATGACGCGAAGTGTACTTAACTCATACATTTTTTTAATCAATATTTTCTTCACAACTGGACTCTGATTCAAACTCATCACTACTTGCTGTTGTACCTAAATTAATAATAATTGGTTTTAGATCAGAAACATCTAATTGCTTAATTATTCAAAGGTTCTGACCAAGTCTGAAATACATATTCTGGTGATGACTTTGTTGTTAAAAATTTTGCGCCATAAAACCGTTTGCACTGTGACCACTAGAGAGCTGTCAGAATTACCATTGCAAAGTAATTGAAGTACCAATTACTGGGCAACCAAAAATCTGTGCAAATTACTAATTACTTTATAGTTTTTCAAAAGTGCTTGCAATTATCAATTACTCATAAAAGGAATTGAAAATGTTCAATTATAATAATTCAATTGCTTCTGCTAGTAATTCAATTACTTTATCTGCGTCAAATACCTTTAAAGTAATTGAATTATTCCATTTAATTGAATTACCTATGAGTTATTAAATTACCGAAAAATTTAATAAAAGCCTATGTTAATCTTAAGAATAATATATTATAATATTACAAAAACAATGATGGTTTATGACAGCGTAATTTCTTAATCAATTATTTAAAAAAAAATGTCTTTTACATATTTAATGAAATTTGCCTTTATAAGTACCAGTTACTCAAAATGAAGATCAAATAAAGCATGTCTCCTTAGAGCATTAATGATTTCTGCAAAAGAAAACAACCTTTCTACCATGGCTGATAAAGGAAGGCAAGTGTTAAATTAAAAAAATAAATATCTCATGACAGAGTAATTATTTAGAGCAGTAATTTCTGTGTTTGAATCATTAAGGTATTTCAAAATTTCCAATTCAACTTTTTTCTTTTTACTGCTAGGTTTCGTTGCCGCAGCTGGTGAATCTTCTAGTTCAAAGAAATCATCTAATTTTGTTTGGTTGGTCTCTTCTTAAAGTGTGTTTTCCATATAAGTTTTCCTTTGGTGCTGCTCCATAGCAATGTCCAATATAATTTTTGTTATTTGATCGACCCTTCTAATCCTATTTCCTCAAGGATTTGGAGTGGCTTCAAGTTAGGTAAATCTCCCTCTTCTATTTGATATCCTCCTAGATATAGTGCCCTTGGATTCTGGAGTGCTACACATTCAGTCAGAATGTGAATGGAGGTTTCGTTCTCCTCCTCACAGAATCTGCACTCACTATCCTCTACTACTCTCAGTTTACTATAGCCTGTTCTTGCTCAGGCAGATGCAGGCTTCCGATCTTTTCTGGTTATATTCACCCAGAAGTATCTTAGGCTGTCCCAGTCCCAAGAGATTGTTCCAATTATCGGTTCTTCTACTGCTCAATTCTCTTCTAATCTCCTAATATTATGTTACTGCTGATACAGAACGGCTCAGGTCCTACAAAGGGTGTTTGAGCCCCTTTCCTTGCAAGACTATCTGCAATCTCATTACCCTGTACCCCGTTATGTCCCGGGACCCAAGTGAGAGTAACTCTATTTTGCTCGCCTAGCTCATTTAATTGTTCTAGGCATCTCCAGACCATTTTTGTGCTGATTACGTAAGAGCTCAGCACTTTGATGGCTGCTTTACTATCGGACATGATGATAATCTCTTGTCTATGATTGTTTCTCTCGATGTTACACTGGATACACTTGTCGATGGTGTTAATTTCCGCCTGGAAGATGCTTGGGTATTTTCCCAAGCTTTCGGAGTGCTTGGTTCTCGGCCCATACACTCCTATTCCAGTTCCTTCTATGGTTTTGGAACCGACCACTGAATAGCATGTCTTTCTTTCTTGCAGCCCAGCTCTGTGGTTTTGAAGTTTTTCACAAAACTGTACTTCTTTAGCATTTCATCCTGGGGCATGTCCCAGGTATCTTTAGTCCTGATGCAAGGAGACTTTCGTCTGATTACTCCGTTCCTGATCATTCTATATCGTGTCCTTTTTGCCACATTCTCATCAACAAATGTAGAGGGGTGAGGTTTAAGATCACCTCCATTGCGGCGGTAGGGCAGATTCTCATTGCACCAGTAATGCAAACATAGGCTAGCCTTTGTACTTTTGAGATATTAGCTCTCGTAGTAGCTAAAATAGTTCTGTTACTCCAGGCTATAGCCCCTTAAGTCATGATTGGTCTCAATATTGCAGTATACTTCCATCGCAGTATGTTTGGGTTACATCCCCATCGTTTACCCGCAATGTTTCTGCATACCATTAGGGCTTTTGTGTCCTTATTTACTGCTTCCTTCTCATGTATGTTCCAGAGAAGTTTGTTGTCCAGTGTTAGGCCTAGATATTTGACTTCATTTTTATTCTATATCTATCCCGTCTAATTTAACGGTTTTGAGATTAAGTTTTCTTTTCCTTGAAAACGCTACTAGTGTTGTTTTTGTATGGTTTATACTAAGTCCTACTTCACGGCACTATCTTTTGGTATGTTCTAGTCCTCGTTGGACTATATCACACAGGATATTTCTAAACTTGCCTCTAGCAAATATGACTATGTTGTTGGCATAACCTTTCTCAGACCTTAGTTATGGGACATGTAAGACGTAAGTTTATAATTTAGAAGAG